AGGGATTATTAACGACAACCAGAGGCACTGAGCAGCAGTGTAGACATCTTATGAGCAGTAGCGTGCTCGAAAAGAACATTTCGCCTTTAAGTTTAAACAACATATTGTCTGAGAAGCACAATATTTACCTACAAGATGCTAATTGTGGATTAAATATTAAAAACATAGGTTATTATATTTCCTTGTCTGGAAATCTACCTAGAATTTTGACTTCCACACGACTTTCCAAATCTCCATCGTAAATCATTGAATATATATTGATATTCAAACAAACGGAATCTAGATAGTAGCACAGATAGTCAAGGAATAACCCATGGAAAAGGTTCTTCTATAAAAACAGCTCAGGTAGAGGGCAAAATATGGCATTCCGGGGCAACAGATGCAATCGCTACAATAGGAAGGTAAGTGGCCAAACTTTTCGCATTCCCAGTCTAGTCCAGCATCAGATACATTCGCATATAAGGATACCGCAGGCAGAATGAATCCAGAATTTATGGAACGTAGTGGACGCGTGACCGCAAGAATACCATACGTAGCAGTTCGCGAGACCTCTTCCGGGGGATCTTGACTGATGGAATGGTGACTTGATAGTCCACGAATGAGTAGTCAATCGCTGCCAGCGATTGAATGTGGCGCGATGATTACGTGAATATTTATAGTCGTGCACGTGAATGTTACCTATCGTGAGGTTTTCGGGTTTGGAAAACTTGAAAATATGACTTGGCCAAAACCTAAGAACCATTGACTTTCCCTCGCATTGTCGCTATATGCTCGAATTTCCGCGTTAAGTGTCTACTTCTGGCTGGTGTGTGTGTTTTGTGTGAAGTGGTTGTCCGGATGTGGCCTCTGTGACACCTCTTGTCGGGAAGTGAAGTGCTGTTGTTACGCGTGTTGAGTGTTTTTCGCGCCAGCCATCTGTGCTTTGCCGCATTTTTCGGGATCCGTGACTGTGTCTTGACAACCGGAACACACTGCGGGAGTGGTCAGACAGTGGGGTAGATGCCCCGCAAGTCTGCCTCACTATATATCTTGAGGAAGTCACCACGTGCTCCAATTCGTTGAAGCTCGCAGTGGGTACAGTCGATGTTGGCGGAGAGCTGCACATAAATCCGCATATGCGAAAGAGCAAACTGATGAGAATGCGTTTGTTATGGATGTGCTTATTAAGATATGCATAAGGGCATATTAAAAGTTATTCTAAGATAAAATTATGCGGCACCCTACACATAACCGTCAGGTCAATAAGACGCAGACGCCGTCTTAGTACCACACTTGTACAATCGAGCAAACATGAAGACAGGCATAATCATTTGCCACTATGATGCATGGCATCATTGACATCATTATTCCCCATGAACGGAAAATAATGCTGCATTTTTCTATATCACTTTTCCTCTTCAGCAGACTAGAGGAAGTGTCTTAGGTGTAGCAAAATCTGTTTGGAGATACTGATGTGCAGGAAATCTTACCAGAAAATATTGTGGCGCAGATCTGATCAACCGAAAAATATCAGGCCATTCTTTCTTCTCGATGGTGCTGTTTTTCGTCTTAAGACCATCGTTCACCGGCAACACGAATGGCCAAGAGCAAAATTCCACAAGGTTTTAGTAACCTCGCATCTCGACCCCCTATTTAGCAATTGATCTTCTGCCCTAAACCCTTAGCGAAATTTGCTCCTAAGTTAGTGCTTTTCCCATACTTAATGCTAAGCCGTAACGTAAACATTGTCTTAACAGTAACATTTATTCCCCCAGAAATTAGCGAATGGCAACCGGAAGAGTGAAAAGGGTTGCAATTTCTATTTTTTGACCTTTTTTAGAGGTAAAACGAGTTAAGCTAGGCAAGCGTTAGCTTAACGCTGTTAAGTCCAGTTCGGTTCACTTTATTGCTAATAAAGGTCGATCGTTTTACGTTAAGTGTCTTTTTGTTTGCACGCAAGTTTCGGTATAACACGTGTTAACATAAAGCAATTGATACAAGATTATGTGCATAATGTGTCCAGATAAAAAAAATCGGAATCGGTGCATAAAATATTGGAGCGAAGGGGTAAACTTCTGCAATGGGTACTTTAGGACTAGTACCTTAAGCTAGTTGGTTGCCAAATAGCAGAAGCCGGTTATGTGGAACAAAAGCAAAAAAGGAACAGACAGTTAAGTAAAACGCGTTTGGCGTTTTTCTGGGCGAATAGAAGTAGTAGCATAAATGTCCGTTGTATATGCCCGGTACATTTATCGTTCAGACTACTCGCAGAGTACTTTTTTCCGCGCTTGACAGTATTCAAGGTAAATATCACTGCTGTCAGCAGTTCATTGTTTTTTTTTTCCATGTGACCGATCTAAGCCATATTTAACCATATATCTGTGGGATTCCATGCGACTATGTCCTTCCTTACCCGACGTCAAATATGTGATACTGCCTTATTGGACGATTATTTTAATGCCGCCCCTCAATTACATGATCTATATATATGATTGCTGTATCATGCAGTAGCAGAAACATCGGTGAAGCACGTGCCTGGGCTTTTAGCTAGTATCTATGCGGAAGTATGATATAACATCATTTTCATTTAGAATTCACACTACTTGTAGTGCTACTCGTTTGTCGAATGGACATTTCCGT